TTTAGAGCAACAATTATTTATATACTGTGCAGTTAAATTATAATTTATTTTTGTTCTCCACTGTGTAGTCTCTGATTGTAATAATATTTATAATTGTTTCAAATGGTAGATTATGCATAAAATTGTTTTCTACTCAACTACCAAATTAACTCAATCTCGCCCACAGAATAAAATAATGTTGCCCAATGCATTTAATCTCACCCGGGTGGGCAAGAATAGATGTAGCATAATATATTAAGACTTGCGCTACCAGTAGTTTTAACAAAAAAAACATATTGCCGTGACTCCATTATTTTTTTATTAAATTAGGATGACATATTTTCATTAGGATTCATATTAGGAGCATAATCTTTTTCAATGCTTACAAAGGAGTATTTTTTATGAATTTTTATTCTTTATATTGTTGAAGAAATTGTTTTATAAATTAATTATATTTTATAAATAAAATAAAATATTTTATAAATAAAAAACCTTATATTTTATAAATTCAATATCTTTGGCATTATCGTAAAAATGAACCTTAAACTTACTTGATAATTGCTTTGCAAAAATTAATGATATTCACGTTAATTTATTTTTGAATGCCTTTAAAACAATATTCTATCTCTGTGTATTGTTATTAAGAAAGTTAATTTAAAAATAAATTGCTTTGGCTCTGCGTTGAGTAATTAAATAAAAAAACTCATCTTCATCAAAACCAAATAAATTATAAAGATAAAGATAAAAAACAAAGAAAGTATCGCAAATAAGTAAACTGTGTCTGCTATTGCATTTTCTTTTCCTGATAATTATTTGTAAGAAAGGTTTAAGAATTTTATCTTTTTTGCTACGTTTTTTTTTAGTGTATAGAAATAATGCATCGTTTATTTACGATATTTATTAAAATAACTAAAACATTAGGTCCAAAACCTTAAATTCGAAAGGACCAAAACTCACTTTATGCATAATAAGAATGTTTTTATTCTTCTTTAATAGACTTTTGTAATTACTTAGCGAAATGCTTATTTACTTCATTGGAAATTAAGTACTGCGAAGTTCTAGAGTTGGGATTAGGTTACAAAAACTATATGGTTTTCACCACGTGTTAATATTTGTAGCTCTTGTAAATTTGGAACACTTTATTAAATTAATATGAGATTCATACTGCAATTTAATTTATCGAAGTATTGTCTTGAAAAAAAACATGGTTGAAACAAGAGGTGGGGGATGTAGATCATTACCAATATTTCACTGGATGTTGGTTGAAAAATTTCTTCTGTAACATAGGCTACAATATGTTAAATACAACTCACCTTCATGATGGCATAACTCCTTTAACACCTGGTAGTAGTACTCTTGATGTTTCTTTAACTTGTGTCAATGGTTCCAATCATTCCATTGATCCTGAGAGACAGACTTTTTGAAAAAGTTGTTATTGGAGCAAAGCCTGGAAGAAAATCTAACCTATCTTTTGCTCTGGAAGAAAAACTTTACTGAATATGCTAGCAATAGAGAAAAGTCAGGGGTAGGTTTTGGATAGTCACACTTTCTGAATTATGCTGGAAAACTTGCCGCAAAACATAAATTCAACTTCAAAATAGGACTTCCAAGTAACCAGTGGTGGACAAGGGTTAAACCCCGGCATGGGCATAAATTTACTCTGCGACAACCTGAGGATACAGCTTGAGTTCGACATCAGTGTATGGCTAAAGATAAAGTGTCAAAGTACTTTAGTGTTTTGAATGACGTCATGGTGAGTATGGTTTTCATGTTAAACCAGAATCCATATGGAATATGGACGAAACTGGTCTACAACTTGACGTTAAACCAAGAAAAGTAGTTGCACAAAAAGGCAATTACTGTTATTGCATGTGTGAATGCACAGGGCAAGTTTATTCCACCTCAGGTTATAGTTAAGGGAAAGATATCCAGGTCTTTTTGGGGTTTTAACACTGATTTTGAGCCTCCAGGAACAAATTGGAGCTGCTCCGATAATGATTAGACTAAACAGAGCCTAGTAAAATTATGGTTTACCAAGACATTTTTAGAAAATATTGGTCCACAATGTGTTCAGTTATTGATTCTGGATGGGCACAATTCTCACAACTTTATTAAACTAATTGATATTGCTATCTAGAATCAGATACATATAGTTGAAATACCTTCACACACATCAAATCGGTTTCAACCAAGCAACCGCACCTTATTTAAGCCACTGAAGGATTATTTTCGCTCTACAGCACAAAATCTGATGGGTCAGTTTCCAGGAATTAATACTTGTTGTTCAAATTTTGCAGAGATATTTGCTTCAGCTTGAGTAAAAGCAATGACTTCTAACAACATTACATCTGGGTTCAAGTCGTGTGGAGTTTATCCATTTAATCCTCAAGCTATTCCTAGTGATGTATATTTACCAAACTATCTACACTTAGCTGAGGATATATCAGGTAATACAACTCAAAAAAAATTGTTTTTTGGTTAGTATTGTACTATCGTGTTTTTGTTAATACTTCTATTCAATAAAAATTATTGTTTAAACTTTAGCTAGCAACTGTGACTAATATTTTATGCACAAATTGATAAAAATTCTGAACGAAGCATAAAGTTTACTAACTTGTATTTCAAATGTATTGTTTATTACTTTCTTAAGATTTCTAATCATTAATTATTCTAATCGTCAGTTATTCAAGAAACTAATTTTTCACACGTTGATACTTCTATAGATGCTGGAAAAGTTGCTAATTATCTAGAACAATTACAAAATGGCACTGGAAAAAATAACGCAACTCACAGTTTGTTACAAAGCAACACGTCTATTTTCGAAGCAGAGACTGTTGTTCGTAATAATCAGCTTGCATATTTAGTCAACTCAGTTGAATAAAAAAATGTTGGCTGGATTTTGAATAGTTTTACCAACTTTACTAAACAAAAATAAATAAATCTTAGAACCATCAAACTTTATTCTATTACAGTATCAGAATTTTCGTTTGTAATCTCTTCCAACTCTGGTATGCCATTTATTTTACAGTTTTTTTTCATTTTATTTGATCAAATGATCAATAGTTGCATAGCAACAATGCAACTTTAAGTAAATTTTTAAATCCAAAATAATTCAAATTTTTAAAAATGATTTAAATACTTGTTCTTTTATTGAATATATATGTTTTTATCAATGCAGGTGATGAAGATTATGATGTCTTGGAATATCCTAAGGCCACCGCACGGAAAAAAAATAGCAAACAGAAAAGATCAGCTTAAATTCTTCGTTTTAACTTCTCAAGAAGCAAACTCACCAAGACTAAATCCAACAGGAAAGAAAAAAATGCGAAAGAAAACAACTGTGATTTAGTAATGCTGTAGAACGATTCAAAGAAAAAGAAGAAAAAAAGATTACGGCTAAGAAAAAAAAATTAGAAAATTATACTAACAAGTCTATAGCAACAATAAAAAAGAAGTTCATTTTGTTAACATTTGAATTGCAACCATTGGTTTTCCAGTTACAATGAATCCAGACTCTAATCAATCAGGGAAAAAAGTTTGCATACATAAAAACCCAATGGTTTTATACTTTTCTTATTAAAATGGTGCAATTGAGCATAGAAATAATCAAACAAGATTGAATCTTACTCACCTATATTTAACGTCGCCTACGCAAGTATAAGTTCTTTTTTAATTTACACAGTGTGCGATTTTAAATCAACATGGCAAGATTGAGCTCAGGTGGGCGAGAATCAGTGCTTTTGACACACAATTTATAATGGTACTGCTAACTACTCTCATAAAATCTAATTAATATTACATAGTTTTGTAGTTGAAGAAATAGGCTATCTAATGATGTATAGTTCAGCTGCGCAAGTCTAATAATAGCTTGTCAATATCAATTTCAGTGCGGATGTGGGCGATGTTCGATTAAGTTGTTCTAAAACAATTTTAACATGACTCGTTTTACGGGTCGATACAGCTAGTTGTAGATATTCCTTAACGGTAAATTATTTATTAAAAAAAAAAATTAACGAGTAGCATTTTGAAAATTTAACTGAGCAGAATTTATTAGCACAGTGTAGGCCTAAACATGTTAAAAAAGATATTTTTGCATATTTAAATTATTTCATCACTATTATATTCTAATCACTTTAATTGACATAAAAAATTGAAAAAAAAAAAAAATTGATATGTATACTATAGCAGGCTATACCAGTGATACTTTTGTGCATTAAAACAAAAACGGGAACAAAAATAAAAGCCTTTTTTTAATGACAACTAGAAATAGCACTGAATTTACTTTCTTAATGAAAGTATCTGTATGATATTTTTGTGGACGAAAAATGAAAACGAGAACGAAAATTAAAACCTTTTGTTAACAAGAACTAGAACTAGAACTATAATTAGTTTTTAAATATCACTTTAGGGTACAATGAAAAAGCCAAGTAAAATTTTGCATATATTGAATGATATTAAAAAGTTGTAACATAAACTAAACCACAGAAAACCACAGAGTGATGTATAACGTGCATAGCATGCTTCTTAAACTCTTTTCTACATATAACATCTTTTTTAAAACATCTCTGCAGACTTTTTAAACTGTTAACGTAATTATTAGTTTAAATAAAACTGTGTTAACCTAATTTTTACTAATATATTTCTAAACACGTTTTATATATGCTTTTATTTAAAAAAAACTTTATACAAATTTTTATCTGTGATCAATTTAATTCAATAAGCTGACCAGCCTTAATTTGATATTTTTGTCTTTGACCTTATTGCAATTTTTAGAAATAAATATTTTTGCAAACTGAGCCGAAATAACAGTATCCTAATATTTTAGTACTCTTGAAACTAGTGTAAAGCTATATTTAAAAAAATATGTATTATTATTTTGTTAAAATACAGAAAACCATAAATATTAAAAATAACTATGTACAATAAAGAAATTAAAACGCTTCACATTTAAATTATTAAATTATCAATATTTAAATTATAAAATAATGAAAACCTAATTAAACAACTAAACAAAAACTCACATCAACTTTAAACGCGTGCCAACATTCTTTTAAGGTCTTGCACTTGGATAGATTTTTAATATCCTGCTCGAAGACTAATTGGTTTACCTGTTAAGTATAAATATTTTGCCAATATAAGCATTACATAAAAATCTTAGAAATAAAATAAGCAATGTTTTAAAACATTGCTTGCCGTATAATGAATAAAAAAGAAAAAGTAAAAATTTTTTCTTAATTTTTATATGATATAGTAAAAAAGATTCTTTATTTAAATATTCTAAAAATTTTATTTTTTAGTTAAGATGTGAATATATATTAGTTTGCCAATATATATTAGTTTGTTATCACAAAAATAGTAAAAAAGTTGTAAATTTTTTCAAAAACAAAACAAAAAACATATTCAGCAGGATTAAAATACAACACTTATAAAATCTAAAAGTATTAAAAGAACTTTATACTCTAAAAAACAGAATAAATATCTTCAAGAAACAATTGAATATACCCCTAACTCAAATACACGAATATAATATGAATATTTTTGGTCGTCTTTAACAAAGCAAATAACGCCATCACAAAGCTTTTGCCACGAACATTCCCCAATACCACTTGTGAAGGCTTGAACAATAGTTGTTGAAAGGGTCTGTATTAAAAAATGAATTTAAAATTTGGTAAAAAAGACATTATTTTACTTGTATGTATACAGAATAAAAGTTTTAAATCAAAGGTTATCAAATGGTATATTATCTAATATAAGATAATATACCATTGTATTTACCATTACCATTGTATTTACCATAACCGTTACAATTGTTTTATCATTACCAATCTACCATTACCATCACCATTGTACGTACAGTTATTGTATTTAATTATGCAGAGGGTTTCCATTTAACTACTCAACTTAGAACTTCAAAAAGTTAATTACAATACCTTCTATAAGTTACCTATGTTGTGCTGTATAAAATTTTTCAATAAATCTCAATAACTTGATGAAAAATAAAAACTTTTCTTTTTCAGGGCTTACAAAAAATAAACTTGTACAGATTGTTATTCGGCGCACATTAAATTAAAATATGTTGTCACCAAGTGTGATTGCAAACACTAATCGTTATTTTCTCAAAAGTGTACTTACTCTGCCACTATATCAGATTACTTTAAACACTAAATTTTGTTTTAAAGAACAAATCTCTCATTTAAGGGAGAGCGGAGGGTTTTTAAGCTTTTACAAATATAAAAAAATATATACGAAATGTTCTGTAACAATATATTTTCTTTAATTTGATGATATTAGTTACTATAGGATTTTTTTATTATATAAATTATATTATTTTATATTTATATTAAATTTATATATGATTATAAATTTAATCTAACTTATACTTAAAAGTGTTAGAAACTTACAAAAGAAAGAGAGTTGATTTAAAAAAGAGTAAAAACAAATATCTACATTAAAGTTTAGTTATATGAGATCTTTTCTTTTGATTTAACATTTATGACATGTTTTTTTAATTTAAAAAATAGTTTATGCTACAGCCAAAGTACACCACCGGTGGTATATCTTGGAGGTATGTATGTTGAACCTTGTAGATTTATTTGTTTTAACAGATTAGGTCCTCAAAGTTTAATCTAATGTGTAGTAATTGGATAATTAAACTTAACATCAGCCTCATTTGAAATAACATTAATCTAACTAGTCAGATTTATATAAAGTATATATTAATTTATAACAATGTTGAATTTATATATGATTATAAATTTAAACTAATTTCTACTTAGCAGTGTTTGAAACTAACAAAAAAAATAGAGTTTATTAAGAAAAGAGTTATAACAAATATCTGCATTAAAGTTTAGTTATATAAGATCTTTCCCTTTTATTTAATGTTTATTTCTTCTACATTTGAATAATCAAAGTTAAATCGAAATGATAGTTTTTCCAGCTGTCGCGCTGAAAATCCTGTAATAGAGGGATGTGGCAAAATTATAAATTGTGTCTGATTTGTCCAACCCATCCACAGTTTTATCTTGTTTTTGATAATTTGAGAAAATTATCAAAGAGAAGATAACAGTTTGAGAAATATATATAAAGTTTAATAAAGAAAAACCCGCAGATTACTCGAAAGGAATTTTTAATAAACAAAAAAATTCATAATAAACTGTTATAATGTTACATTAATAAAATACTTTTATAACGAATATTACTCATAAAAGGATTTACAAAATATTGCAAGAGCGTATCTTGATGGTATCACAAATGTACACAACATTAGCTAACTTCAAGGTACATTGCTACAATAGCTTTTACAAAATTGCTACTATATATTTATAGGTTTGAAGTCAAGCAGTTTAAAACATATATAAATTTAGCTGAAAACATGCTTACAAGCTTTAGTAAATAGTTTTAAAGTAAATTTTATACCTAAAGAAGTAGAAAAAAAAGTACACGCTCTAAAAATATTACTTTTTGGTCCGCAAAACAAACTTATATTTTTATCGCAATTACAAATGTGGTAAAACAACTTTTTATAAACTTGTAATAGCCAATATATGAAACTAAAGTTTCAGTTTGAATTCAACACACAAGATGACAGTACAATGAATGTACCTTCAAGATACACACATCCCCAAGGTTCACCACTCTTCCCTTTTTATTTTCTTTTATTATTGTTAATGACTATTAACTAAATATTTATTAGGAGTTTTTATTTATTTATTTTTTGTCGTTGTTTTTATTAGGCTGAGTTTAATTTAAAAAAGAATTCATGTTTATAGAACTATATTGTAAGAAAAATAATTCTTTATCTTTATGGTACTTAAAAACAATGTTACTAAATTCATTAACTACTGTGTAACAAATTAAAAAGTTAACAGCATATATATTTATTAACTACCGTTTTTATTATGTTTGTGTAAAGCAATATATCTTGATAGACCAAAAGTTAGTTTTTTCTTACATACTCTAAATTTTATTTGAAAGGCCTTCTGCATTTTTAAAACATAAATTAAAAGATTATTGGTTTCATCCTTATTTTAAAAAGGGTCACTTAATAAAACCGTAGTTACTTACTAGATCCCATATATTGTTAAATATTTTTCCAAAAGTATATTAACTTGGGACTCAAAAATTTGATTAAGGTTTTTGAAAAGGTTATGATTTAAAAAAAAATAATAACTTCTTAAATTTTAAATTTAAAAAGAGTGATTTAAACAAACTATTTTGAATATCTCAAATCATTTTATGTCAATTCGTAGCATTTTTTTCTATAAAATATAATTATTAATAAAGATGTTAAAATAAAAAAACAATGAACGCACATAAGAGATCTATCAAGTAATCGAAGATGAAATCTAGCAAGTAATTCATGGTTAATAAATTTAACTTACAACGCATTTCTCTCCAATTAGATTAAAAACTAAAGAATTTTCATCTTCTGACAAAAAGTTTGAAGGGCGATTTACTTCTTGAGGTTTTTTAGGTTGACAAGATTTCATTATTGTAATAATATTTTTTTGCACTAAATAAAAAAATAAATATGTTAACTTTTATAGATAAATTATCCAAAATTGTTAAAGTAATAAAGAAATCATCTCAAATGTTTTACGGTTAACACAAAACTTCACTTATCACGTTTAGCGTAAAAACTGAAAATGTCAACCGAGCTGATTCAAAAACGCCACTTATATAGGTTGATAGCATAACATCAAGGTAACCGGTAATGCAAATTTTGAAATCTTTTAATTATGTCCGCGAAAAATAATTTAATTTGAATTTTCAATTAAGTGAATATTTTACTTTACAGTGCGACAATAAAAACACATGTAAAACGAGAACCACCTCAAATAGTTCAATTACAACTAGATTAAATGGAGCATATTGCCGCACCAAACTCTGGATAAAGTTTCAGCCGGATTTGTTCCTGTTAAAGAATTTATGGCAGTGTAAAGTTACATTTTGTTTTTACTATTTATACTTCAAAACGTTACCGATTACTGTGATGTTTAGTCACTTTTTTTAAAATAATATATCAGTCAACGCATGAGATCAATATGATATTAAATAATATAAAAAATTTCTCATGCTGCGATATCAAATAATTATCTATGTGATATCATATAGATGTCATAACCATAAATAAATAAATTCAAATATAGTTGTGATATCATCATAAGATCAAATTGAAATTACGACTAAATATCAAACCATAAGAAACTTTTGATATCTAAATTACAGAACATTGATACCAGTTTTTGACAAAATACTACAAATTCGAGTTTGTGGTGTTTTGTCAAAAAACATCAAAACGTCAAAAACGTATTCTTAATATAATATCATGGTAGGGCTTGACAAAAACCATAAAGTTTCAAAAAACCGGCGTTAATCCGGATAATCGGTTTTACACTAGTTTTTTTATTATAAAAGCAAATTTTTATTATTTTGTATAAATCCAATGTAGCAATTACAATTGATATACTGGAGTTAGATTTGTAAACTAAAAGAAAATGTTTCATACTTAAAAAGTTTTTCATACTTTTATATTTTTATATTTATTTACTTTTTCATATTTTTTACATATTAAAAGATATAATTTTTTTCATAAAGTATGTAAAGTTATTTTTTATCAATGTACTGTAATATTTACACTTTTTTTTTTTTATTCATTATTAACTTAGTTTCAATAAAGTGAACTTGATTCGAGTTCATTAGATTCAAGTCTTGAATCATTTTTTCTTGTATGTCACTTTTTTCTATTTCAATCCTATTTTTTTTTTGACAACTCAATAACCTTTTTTTAAAATACTCTTCATAACTGAATATGCTATTTTTAACTAAAGTTTATGCATGTGGTCTGTTTACAAAAGTGTAATGTAAAAAATACTACGATTTGTAATATTTAAAGTAATGCAAAAGTCAAAATTACAAAAACAAATTTATTGACGTGAATTTTGATATTGTTATTTTATTATTATTTTAAGTTTACAATGATAGTTGTGATACAAAAAAACATAAAATTCTTGGAAAAAAATAAACAATTCAGCGTACTAACAACATAATGTTAGGTTTAAAAAAGGAGATCATATGGATCATTTATTCATCATATCATTTAAATTGAAACACAAATAATGTATAAACAAAGGATAAGGACAGGATCTTGTGTTTCTAATTGGGTTGATATTTTATCCGGAGTGCCTTAGGGTTCCATTTTTAACCCCATTCTCTTTAATATCTTTATAAATGATATATTCTTATTTATTAAAGATACTGAATTGCGCAATTTTTCTGATGATAATACGCTGTATGCATGTGATTACAGCTTAGAAAAGATTATTTTTTGATTACAAAAAGAAGCAACTAATACCATTGCCTGGTTTAAGTTGAATTCGATGGTTGCCAACTGTGATAAATTCCAATTACCTAGTTGAATTAAAAAACACTAAAACTTTTTATTGTAAAATCTGTCGCTTTTAATTACTATTTTTATTTATTCTGACATTATAATACAATACTTGCTAATTTTTCTTTAATGAAACGATTGTAATTTGAATATTTTAATATTATTTGTAATTTATATTATATTTTTTTTAAATTATAGTTTGCTTTTTGTTTTTAAATACTTTTTAAAAATTGAATTGTAAACTGACTATATACATGTGGACATTTTTTTTTTCTTTTTTTCAACGACTTTCATGTGAGTATGTATTGTCTATAATTTTAAATGTGTTGATTTAAATTAGTTTTAATCTTGTTAAAATTATTGTAATCATCAACAAAAAATAAAATTTTTAAATTAAATTAAATTAAATCATCAGAATACTAAAAGTTAAACATGTTTATATGTTGTATATAGATATATTAAAGATTTAACATAATGCAAAGATACATTATACAAACATTTTAATACATAATATGCTAAAGATTTAACAAATACATCTTACATACGTTTTTAGTAAAATTTCAGAATGCTGTTCATAAAGAAAATATTTTAAAAATTAGTTTTAAATACAAGAAGATTAAAAAAAAGATCGAATTTGGTAATATCATTCTATTTCAAAAATGAGGTGTTAGGTTTTGAGATTTAACTTAATTAATTTAAAATCTCAAAATGAAAATATCAAACAATAATATCAAAAAGTTGACAAAATATTTTAGGTTAGTGTTACTTGATTTTTCTAGATTGTTTTGATTTTATTAAGTATTTTAAAATTTAAATATTGTTTAAAGATTCTGTCAGTATATAATCTATTATTAATTGGTAAAAAAAGTATTTACATTTACCTATGACATTGTATAAAGATTACGCTCATTCGCTGCTGTGTTGTTTTGTAGACAACGCAAGCGGTCAATACTCGGATCATTTACTTTTGTATAACTTTCTCAGTCTGAACCATTTAGATTCGGCAGAAGAAAGATACGTTGTTAAGTAAAGTAAATCTCCTTTCAAAAATGAAAGCTTTTTATTTAAATCTGGAACACTTTCTTCATTAACACTGTGCAATTAGAAAATCTAACAGTTCTGGTATAAGTCTACTTAAAAAATAAAGTCTTTTTTTAATTCGCCTTGTAATTCAAAAATATTTGGTATTCATCAAGTGTAAGATTGTGATACCGATATGATCTTCCTATCTTAGGTTGAACTGCAATCAAAAGTGATACAAATACCATTAGCTTATTTTGAACTTGATAATCTCACATCATCAGTTATATTATCACTTGTACGTAAGCAATAATATAACTTTAAGGGGGTTTGCTCAGATTTAACTTTAATTTTATGTTCAATACTTTAACTTTATTGGTTATCTTTGTATCCATATTTTTAATTAATTAAAATTTGAATTTATTCAACTTTCTATTTTTTTATTAGTTAAGTTCACAATTACAAATTATTTTTATTCAGTGAATGCTTGTGTTTTTATAGTGTCTAAAATGATATTATTACTAAAAAGTTATTTTTCAATATTAAATTTTTGAACCTTTATTAATATTGAGAGTTACTAACTGCAGTAAATTTATATAGTAACTATATGTTTAAGGAACATAGATTACTAAAATTACCATATGTTTAGGGAACATGAATTCAGTTGCGAAAGTATCCTTTAATTTTGAAAGGAAAAGTATACACTTTTTACTGCACAAACTGAGGGAAGAAATACTTGAAAATAGGTGAAAATCAAGAAAAATGGATTTTCGAAACTGCCATGAACCCTGTGTATGGAGTTTACTGTATAATGTATATTATTATTTTTGGAAATCAAGGTGGTTTTTTAATTTCATAATTATTACCATATTAATTTCTATTATTACACATAAAACATTGTTTTTAACATATATAATTTCTTCTGGTGTTTTTGTTTTAAATACACTTTTGATTTTGATTTAAAAAATTATTTGAAAAATAATTTTTTAAATCAAAATCAATAATTTCAAATAATAATTTTATTATAGTTATAAACTTGTAATTTTTTTTGTGTGTTTTCGTTTTTGTTGAGTTTTTATTTATTATATATAACAATGACAATAATAATTAAATATATACATATATATATATATATATATATATATATATATATATATATATATATATATATATATATATATATACATACATATATATATATATATATATATATATATATATATATATATATATATATATATATATATATATATATATATATATATATATGAAGGTGCAGTGGTATTTTATATATACAGTGGTATTGTAATATTTGTATAAAATAGTTGAGTATAAAAAAGACAATTTATTTCTTATTAGAATATCAAAATATGATATCAAATTTAAAGACCGGGATGACGTCAATGTGTGGTATGTATATATATATATATATATATATATATATATATATATATATATATATATATATATATATATATATATATATATATATATATATATATATATATATATATATATATATATATATATATATATATATATATATATATATATATATATATATATATATATATGTATATATATATATATATATATATATATATATATATATATATGTATGTATATATATATATATAAATTTATATATATATATATATATATATATATATATATATATATATATATATATATATGTATATATATATATATATATATATATAAATATATATGTATATATATATATATATATATATATATATATATATATATATATATATATATATATATATATATATATATATATATATATGTATGTATATATATATATATATATAAATTTATATATATATACATATATATATATATGTATATATGTAAAATAATATAAAAATTTATATATATATATATATACATATATATATATATATATATATGTATATATGTATATATATATATATATATATATATATATATATATATATATATATATATATATTATATATATATATATATATATCATAATTATATCACATTGATCTCATACTGTGAGATCTATGATATTATAGAACGATACGTTTATGAGATCAATTTGACATCAAAATAAAATCACA